TCTCTCCCCTTTCCACTCTCTCCGAAAAAGCAATGGAAAAAATATCCTCAGGTGAGGAGTAAAAAAAAACAAAAACTTTTCTCAAGCTCAGCGCACCTCCCCCTTCCGCTGTCAGCTGCTTCTCTTCTCAACAGCCAAACTTCTTGAAAGAGCTGTCTGCACTCAGTCTCGTCACTTCTTTATTCTCTTCTCCCTGTCAACTTTCCACAGAAATTACTATTGCTCCCCAACATCCCAAACTATCTATGCTGAAGCACCTCCCTTCCCTCGTGTCTAGACCAATATGTTACCCTTTATGCCCCTGCCTCCATTGGAGGTTCCCCAGGATTTTGAGGGACCTCAAAATAAACCATCTGAGGCTGAAAAACCTAATTGGAAATGATCTGGGTATTTTATCCAGGTAGATGAGCTTCAGAGACACCCTGACTGATGTTTGCTTTCTCCGTGGTCCCTCGCCACAAATTTAGTCTATAGTCTCCATAAGATTACATATCAGGGCAAAATCCCCAAAATTAAAAGCCTCCTTTACAAATATTTAGTAGGAAGCGTTAGCCTTCATATTGAGCAGGTAACCTCAACTTGTCCCATCTGCCAGAAACACAATTATGATAAAAATATAAAGTGAGGCAAAGATGAGAACCAACTCATATAAACTAGTGCATTTTGTATTTCTGTGCTTATATCTGACTCATAGCTGGAAATTTAGAATTAAAGCCATAAGGTCTCTATTCATTTTTGTCTGTGTGTTTCCGTATATATGTATGTTATATATGAGTAATATTTTCTTGACTCTGCATAGTATTACCAAATTAACAAAATCCCTTATGCTTTATTCCAATTGACTAAGAGATAAATAAGCACTTATATAAATTAAATATTCTTAAAACTCTCATAAATTACAGAAACAATTTTTAATACTTTGAATGTAAAAAGTAAAGTGTTCTTATAAAAACTAACCCAAATGTTTAAAAAATTCAAGTTCAAAGATTTTAGGTAAATCTTTGCCAAACAAGATGAATTTAATATTGTTAGTTTAATAAATAACAGCTGTCTTGCCCGGCCGGGCGTGGCTCAGTGGTTGAGCGTCGACCTAGGAGCCAGGCAATCGGGGTTCGATTCCCGGTCAGGGCACATGCCTGGGTTGTGGGCTCGATCAATGACTCTCTCATCATTGATGTTTCTGTCTCTTTCTCTCCCTCTCCTTTCCTCTCTCTGAAATCAATAAAGATATATTTTTAAAAACACACAAACAAACAAACAAACAAAAACCAGCTGTCTTGTGAGTATAAACGTTACAGCTAACACAAGCATATAGTTTTATTCTACTTGGGCATATTCTTCCTAAACGTAAAATAGGTTTACTGGTTGAATAAGCTAGTATTGCATCTTCTAGATGTTTAAGATTATAAAAATATAAATTTGCTTTAAACCAAACTAAGTCATTATTCTGAAAACTTTATTTCAACAGTAATTATATTTTATAATACATCACCTTTAAGACAGTTTCCAAGATCTTTTTTGGTAATGTAAAACCTTAGACTTATGCTAAATTAAATTAATTAATAAATATTCATTAAATACCTAGATCATTTTTAAGAAAAAGAAAGTACTGACACATTAGTTACTAAGCCTATTTTAAGTTTTCATACTTTTTGCTTATTTTTTGTAGCACAGAGAGGTTGTATTTAGATCTGTTAATAAATGTGTTCATTTGTCCAAGCTGAAAAACATACTATAAAAAGTATATAACTATACATTTTTATGGGATATATATATTTGTAGGCCATACTAGTCCGCTACAAAATGCTATATATGACAGACAATTCAAACTGATCTACCCCTTAGTTTTCTCTGTAAAACAGAAGTAAATAATAGTTAAAATTATAATCAGTATGTACAAATGAAACTACTAAAAGTAATAATAGCAAAGGGGAACAACTTTGTATGCAAGATATGCAAATATGTTTTTGTTAAGGAAAAAGAGAATAGTTTTGTCCTAAATTAAAATAACTAGTGGTTCTAAAAGCTATGTAAATGGATATTTAAAAATTTTTTAAAGGTTCACAGAAAAGAAATTTTAATTGTCATGGTCAAAATGGACTAAAATTTAATGAGACTATAAGATTTTCACAAAAAGCTCTAGTATCAAATCTTATACTGATGCATAACTAAAACCTGGCTTTCTGTTAAAATAACAAAATTTTTATGGATTGTTGGTCTGCTCTTAATAAAAGGTTATAAATGATCTTTATTTCCTTCTGAGTAATCTGTCTAAAAGGCAAAGTTTTTATGTCTTACCAAACAAATGTCCTATCCCTTATGTTGACTTCACCATGTCTTCAATTATCTTTAAAAGGCTTTTTAGTTTTAAAGGAGCTAAGAATCTTTACAATCATGTTACTTCCTATTTTTACTTGAACGTTTTTGTCACTTTAATTCAACAAATAATCAAGTATTACATCGCTATCCCATAATCTTATTAATCAAATGTCCAAACTTCATCATAACATTTGACATTTTGCATTCCCTAAACCAAATGTGGGGTACCTTTTACACCTAAAACTGACAGTGGGATTTCCCAGAGGACCCAAAGGATTTATTTGCTCTTTCACCTTGTAACGAAAAGTGTTAAAAATAATTAGGTTTATTTAATATTGTATAAATTGCATGGAAAGCACTGTCCAACCCCTCTCCCTGAAATAATGCTGAGTCTTTCCTAAATTAAATTTTAATTGGTAAAATTTTAATTATATAAATATTTCAGAAATTATATAACATTTTTAGAGATGTGTCACTGCCCTCACTACCCATGATATGCTTCTGTTTCTCAGAGTCCTGGTGCTGCCTTGCCTGATATCAGACAACAGTGACACAATGTTATTAGTCATAATTTCAGTTATTTTTAAATGTTAACTTAGTTGCAATTTTACTTTTAAAATTTAAATCCAGTGTATTCTCGGCCAGTGGTTTTCAATTGGAAATTCACACCACTTATCTATGGAATTTTGTTAATATATAGAGGTTTAGGACCTTTTCTTCACTGGCAATTTTATTTCACTCCATTCCTAAATCTCATGGTTTTAAATATGTTCTTACTACCATATGTCTGGTCTCTCAGTGGCTTGAAGCTTTCCCTTTTAAAAGGGCCATTGCCACTGATGTTGCTAAACTTTTGTTAGCACAAATCTCCTCACGTGGGGAATTCTGGCTCTTTCAAGTAACTGAGAAATCCATTTCACCAGTTAAGTTATCCAAGAAATCCAACAAGTTTTTTCTCTGTCCTCCAAATTACATCATCCTTATCATCCTCAGTCATTTGAAATGATAGAGCTAAGGGACTATAAAAATAAAGTTTGCTAAACTAATGGGTCACACCAATTTTCCCCAAATGAAATAATGACTGGCCCACCCATGAGAATTTTCTATTCTGTCTGGGCTCTCAAAGATTCTGACCTGGTCAATTTAGACATTCTAAAATACTGACAAGGGTTTTTCCTATCCTCCATTCATGCTCCCTCACAATTCTGCTGTTATCATTGCCTACATCCCTGCAGTTCTTACTCTGCTTCCCTCTGTGCTTCCTGGAATCTCAGCCTAGTCAAGCCTCATGCTCTAGAAGGGTGCACCTATTGGCTTTCCTCCTGGTGCATGCCCAGACTGGGGCTGAGGGATTGCTTATTACTTGGGACTATTAGCAGTAAGCAGTCTTTAATCTCCTGGCCCAGACTCCAAATGCCACCCTTAATGATGAACCTAGTCTAATTGAAATGCCATGCCAGTGACTAGATCCAAAGACTGGAAATAGAGAACCCAGCTGAGTTTGGAAAGAGGACTTGTCCACAGTCATACCCCAGCATGCTCCAGGACTTGGACTAGTAGGAAGAAGAGAGGAAGGGCACTTGAAGATTGTTGCTGTCTATCTGAGAAACACAGCATATAGTATGCCAGGGTGGCCTAGGCAGAACCTGCACTTAGAAGCCAGAGCTTTGTGTCAGGTGTCCTTGTCTGCCAACCTGTGTGAACATACTGCCTTGGCTTGGCATCTCCATGGACTGGACACTTGCTTGGTTGGCTTCAAGCAGTGCAGTGTATGACCTTGCCCATCTGTCTGTGATCATGTGGTTTTTGTTGTTTATTAGATTGATAAGCTTTGTTGGTGTCCCTAAGACCACCCCCAGGGTCAGTGATTCTCTAGGAGGACTCCAGGACTCAGCATATAGTTGTCTTCAAGACTAAGTTTTACTACTGCAAAAGGAACAAACAAAATTAGCAAAATGAAAAGCCAGTGTTTTTAGTCACAGCCCAAAGTTTTTATTGGGAGCTGGTCACGTAGGCACTTTCTGCCTGGCACCTACCAAAATTTCCAACTTGCACAAGACAATCAGAGATTCAGCATAAAGCACATTGTTTTTCCAAGCAATCTATGGCATTAGCCTTATCTCTTATCATTTAGGAAAAGTTCATGTCAGTGTAAAGAACTGTCTACCTTTTCAAGTTCCCAGAGGCCAGCCAAGGGGCCACCTTGCAAGCAGGCCTTTCTAAGGAGAGCAGTCTCAGGCTTGCTAGGTTAATTTTTGTCTACATACTCTCTGGCTAACATCAACTCCACTGCTTTCTCTTCATAAACTGCAGCCATATCAAACCACAGGGTACTCCCCAAACATGCCATACTGCTGTCTTCCCTGTAGCATAGGAGATTCTTCTTACTCATGGACCCTTCCTTCACCTCCTTGCAAATGTTTTCAAGAGGAACATCTACTGTCACCTCTGTGAAGCCTTCCCTGATTCTGTGAGGCCAGCCAAGTCACATGGTCCTTCTAGTATGCTGCCATAGTACCTTATCCATACCCAAAGATAGATACTTACAAAGATAGATAGTCAAGGGCTCTGACCTTCTAGAGGGCAGGGACCAAGTCTTATTTGTCTGTATCCCCAGTGCAGTATATAGCCTGGCAGGAGCTAGTAACTAAGTAAAATTTGGTTTAATTATGGAATATGTGGTTCATTAATTCCCAGAACAAATCAAGTTGCTCACATTCCTTCCCATTCCTGCCCATTCCTTCCCCTGCCTTCCAACCCACATCTGTACTCAGCTTTCCTTCCTGTCTCAGACATAGTCCTTTCTTTCCTGTTCAAGGCTCTAGAACCTATGCACTCCCCCAGCCCCCACCCTGACCCTAGTGTCCTTTCACCTTCAAGTGTGCTCATTCTCTCTTCCAACAGTAAACTCACCTTACCTGGCAGGTATTTCCTCCCTTGAGCACATAAACACACACTCTAGGAAGCACTCACCTTCATCTTGTAGCTGTTTATCTGATCACCCCTCCCACACATATCACTTCATGGGGAACATTTTTAGAAAGAGTTGTGCAGCTCTACCAACTGTACCTCCTCACTGACCACTTCTTTCTCAACTGACCATAATCCAACCACAGCCTTTCAGCTCTCCCAACACACCCCCCTCAAGGCAGCCATAAGCTCTATATTGCCAAACCTGGTGGGCCTATCTCAAGGTCCACAACACACAGGCAAGTTAGCTCAGCCTGGCTTGGTTTTCATGACTGTACTCTTTCCAGTTTATACGAAATTTTCCTTCTCAGTACCCCTCCTCAGCTCCTCTTCCTCTAGAAGACCCTTCAATATTATTTTCCAGAATTCTGACCAATCTGTCTTTTTTCTCTCTCTTATTTTTGTACTTTTCTTCTTTTTATATATGCAATTAGAGTTTTAGAGGGCCAATAATTATTAACCCCCATTTTTTGTTTTTGAGACAAAAGAAAAGCAGAAAATGGAGATAAATGTGAGCTGGTGAAGCAAATGGCTTTACATGTTGAGCCAAAAAGGAAGACTCCCCTTGCATTCCTGAACCACAGGGACTTACTCATACAGCCAAGGGCCTAACAAGATGACTGGCCCCAGATGCTTGTGGAGAGAAGCAGAGAATTCAGGGGGAACTTTATGGGATGTACATCTAAAGTCATCTGCCTCCAAAGACAGGGAGAATTATGGGCTAAGCTGTGCCCATGCAGTCCCCAACTTTGCACCCAATAAGCCATTCCTTCCCAAGAGAACAGTAGTATAAACAAAATACCAGAAAAATGGCATTCTACTCCCCTCCAGGCAATCTAATTTTCCAGGCAACCTCAACTCTCTAGCCCAGGGTCTAATCTTCACTCAACTTCAGACCTGTTTACTCATATACTATTGGACATCGTTGCCTGGATTCCCTACAGGCAGTTCACATTCAACATGGCCCAAGTGACCTTATCATATCTCTGCACAGCACCCCCACAACCTCCCAGTAGGCTCTCAGTTGGTTCCTGTCACAGTTTTGGGTCCACACCATCCACCAAGCTGCCAAACCCTGAAATTTTGGGAGCAGCCTTGGCTACCACTTTCCCTCACCTTTACCCTTAACACCAATGAGACTTGTGCCCTCAGCACCTCTCCCTTGGCTGAGTTCAGAAGTCTCCTAACTGGGCACCAGAATCATCTTGCTTTATATATACCCCTGGGTCTGATCCTATACATGGCAGCTGGAAGGAATTTTCCTACAAATCACGTCTGGTCATCTTGCTCTCCTGAAATCTGTCAGTGGCCCCTGGGGCATCAGAAGGTGAGTCAAACTCCTTAGCCTGGGAATGGGTGCCTGCTCAGCCCCCTCTCAGCACTTCCCACCAAGCCACCAATTAACCTTTCCTTCATTGCAGCCACCCTGACTCTATTTCCTTTGCAGCATGCCCATCTGGCAAAATCTTCTAGCTCCAACCCGCATGCCACCTGTAAAGAAAGCCTCTCCTGACACTCCCTTATCCACCCAAAAAGAAACCCAGCCCGCTGGGTGTGGCTCAGCAGTTGAGCATCAACCTAGGATCCAGGAGATCATGATTCGATTCCTGGTCAGGGCACATGCACAGGTTGAGGGCTCCATCCCTGGTTGGGGGCATGTGGGAGGCAGCTGATGGGTGATGACTGTCTCGTCATTGATGTTTCTATCTCTCTCTCCTTCTCCCTTCCTCTCTCTGAAATCAATAAAGATATTAAAAAGAAAAGAAACCCAATAGTCTCCTCCTTCATCTACAGTTTGCACATTTTGCACCCCCTCTTGCTAAGTGGAACACTAAATTGTGTAGGAAGCCAAATGATGTGGCAGGAATTCCAAAGTTGTTTGCTCAGTAACTTTGGTCTGGGCCTCTACAGGGCCTGGGGCCAAGGATGAGCAAAGGAGTCACAGACAAGTTGGATATTCTTAAATAAGAAAACCTTTTATTTAATAGGATAGCCTGGCAATAAAAATAGCCTCTTATCTAACAAACTATGGAATCGCTACAGTATAAGAACCCCAGTACCATGAGGGTGGATGAACATTTTTATTTTATCCTTGGAAAAGAAGTTACAAGTATCATCTCCTGTCTCCTGGGGTAGTAAGAGTCTCAGCTCTCCCTTTCTAGCATTTCTGACTTATGTGAGAAACCATTTACTTGGATCTGTGGAAATGGTAAGGGCTTTCAATTGTTCTTTCTGAAATCTCCAAGCAATACAAACTTGCTGCATCTCAACAATCTGTCAACATTTTTGTAAGGTGTATAGAGTATGAACTGTAGGGCCCAGCATTTCAGATGCTGTCAAGAAAGCCTTGATTTGAACACTTCAACCCATACCACATGGTCACCTCTAGTCGCAGTCACACTTGCCCTTTCACTCATGCACTCTGATATACACCAACATATTGCCAATCACAATCCCACTGCCACTCTCAATGCCACCCACTGTCACTCTCTCTAATGCTTGCTTACTCATGTTTGCTTTCTCTCACTCTGACCTCTCAGTGCTTCACCCTGTTGCTTTCTCTCACTCACCACAACCCCTTTCCTGTCAACACACAAATAGCCTTCACTCTACTTGGGACCCCCAACTTGAAGTGCATGTATACTATGGGAGACCTCCCTCCTACTCCACACTTCAGGAATTAGCCAGGGCTTCTTATCTCTCAGGATAGACACCTGCTCCCACAGCTGGCCTCATCTAAGCTCCTTGCACCACAGGAAGCCCCTTGACACTGCTCCATGCCCAGGGAGTTACCATTCTAGCCCCATATGGGGCAAGAGGGTTAGCACCTGCGTGTGTGTTGTGCCAGGCACTAGCATGAACGTGAGGTGAAAGCAGGCCCCACCTGGGTTATAGAACCTGACAAAATTCCAGCTTGGGCAGGCAGGAGCCCAGAACAGTATAGCTCTTACCTGCTGGCCTGGCTCTCCAAATCCATGAGCTGCTGGGGTCTTCTGGGACTGCTCTGATGCTCTGGAGTGCTGGGGTCTTCGGGCTGCTGTGTGGGTGCAGCTGGGTCTCCCTGGCCACCTTTTGGGGCTCCAGGCTTCTCCTGCCAGGTCTCTCCCAGGTTGGTGACCACATTCTTCTCCTCAAAATCAGCCAAGGAGCTGAGGAAGAATGAGTGCCCTTATGGAGCAAACATTGTGGGACTAGTCCTTGCTCACCCACTGTGCCCTGATGTCACCTTCTGTGGGCATAGCAGGGTTCTCTCCTGGAGAGTGGGACAGAGAGGATCCCAGCATGGCATCCATATCAGGGAGCAATCTGGCTCTTCCTCAGGAGGACCCCCAGTACAGCTACTCCCTTCCCACAGATAAAGGCCAACTCACATGTACCAGGTGAAGCCTGAGCTCAAAAGATCAAAGGATGCTTTTGCTATCCCCTAAATTCAGCAGGGAGAGAGTGGCTTCCTGGATGTCCCATGCATCGAGCTCTTCGGGAGGTCTTCCTTCTTCCCTGGCCTCACATCACACCAACGTTTGCATCTCCCATCCCCATCCCCATCCCCATCCCCATCCCCATCCCCATCCCCATCACATCACCGCCACCATCACATCACCGCCACCATCACATCACCGCCACCATCACATCACCATCACCACCATCACCATCACCATCACGACATCACCATCACGACATCACCATCAC